ATTACTAATCAAACATTAATACATAAATCATCAATAATTAATAAATCAATTAATCATAATTTATCATCTAATATATATATATATATATATATATATATATATATATACATATCAATATTATTTTATTATAAATAATCTAGAGTATTACAAAGTATCAAAATTATTTTCCAATAGCACTCATATAACACATATATCGCACAAAATCATTTTATCAAAATTTATATTATAATTTGTTATCTATAACCATCATATATATATATGTGTGTATATATATATATTATGGGAAATATTTGTAATACCCCATATTTTTATTAATAAAATAATAATAATAATAAACTATAAATTAGTAGTAATAATAATATAGATATACATAAATAAATATTATGGTGATAGATAGCAAAGTAGAATATTAATTTTATTTTTGATAAAATTATTTTGTGCGATATGAGTGCTATTGGAAAATAATTTTGATACTTTGTAAAACTCTAAATTATTTATAATAACATAATATTAATATGTACACATATATATATATATATATTAGATGATAAATTGTAATTAATTGGATTATTAATTGATTGATGATTTAAGCATTTATGTTTGATTGGTAATGTTTGATTGATAATGATTGATTAATAATGATTGATTGATAATGTTCGATTGATAATGTTCGATTGGTAATGTTTGATAGGTAATGATTGATTGGTAATGTTGATTGGTAATTTGATTAGATATAATGAGTTAGCATTGAGTCAGTAATGTATGAAGTCAATATCTGAGTCAAATACATCAATAAAGAAAAAGAAAATAAATGCACAAAACCCATATCCGAGCCCAAAACTTCAACTATAAATAGAGGCCTAGCCTAAACAAACTAATTCCCGGGAAACCCTGCCAGTCTACCCCGTGACCCGGGAAAAAACCACTGTTACCAGCCACGTATAATCAAAATTGGCCATAATCAATTCACATCTTCCTAGTGTGCACACCTCTTCCCAAAGTTGCTACTAGTACCCCGGGAAAAAACCACTGTTACCAGATACCACTTTGGGAAGAACGGATATAATCTTTTTCACATCAGTTTCACATCGGAGGCATAAAGCCCAAAAGTTATGTTCATCACCTTGGGAGGTACCATCCCAAAGCTATCCTCCCACCATTAATTTATTACAAACACACACAATCAGGAAAGATTCAATCATAATTATTTATTCTTTAAGTATTATCATCTCTAAATGAGTTACTCAAGGGCATTATAATTTTCCAAAGTATCATAAATCAAACAACTATTATCATAGAGAGAGTAGTAGAGGAGAAATGTTGAAGAGTGAATTAGTTTGTTTAGGCTAGGCCTCTATTTATAGTTGAAGTTTTGAGCTCGGATATGAGTTTCGTGCATTTATTTCCTTTTTCTTTATTGATGTATTTGACTCAGATATTGACTTCATACATTACTAACTCAATGCTAACTCATTATATCTAATCAAATTACCAATCAACATTACCAATCAATCATTACCTATCAAACATTACCAATCGAACATTATCAATCGAACATTATCAATCAATCATTATTAATCAATCATTATCAATCAAACATTACCAATCAAACATAAATGCTTAAATCATCAATCAATTAATAATCCAATTAATTACAATTTATCATCTAATATATATATATATATGTACATATTAATATTATGTTATTATAAATAATTTAGAGTATTACAAAGTATCAAAATTATTTTCCAATAGCACTCATATCGCACAAAATAATTTTATCAAAAATAAAATTAATATTCTACTTTGCTATCTATCACCATAATATTTATTTATATATATCTATATTATTATTACTACTAATTTATAGTTTATTATTATTATTATTTTATTAATAAAAATATGGGGTATTACATTCTACCCTCCTTAAAAGAAGTTTCGTCCTCGAAACTTAAAAGTTTGAGCTCCTCAAATTAACTAAAAGGCATAAGGTTAAAGTTAATAAAAATATGGGGTATTACAATATTACTCTCCTTTTGCATAAGATTACTTCTCTCCTACTCTCTCACTTCGATTTCCGCACCTCGTCTTTTTTTTTTCTTTTTTCTTGTAATGGTGGGACCCACCCATTTTATCTCTACAACATAAGATACCTATCTTATGTTGAAGGAGAATAATAAAACCCATATATTATTACTACTAATTTATAGTTTATTATTATTATTATTTATTTATTATTATTATAAATTACTATTAATTTTCTGGGATATTACAAATGTCATCAACAATTACATTTCATGCCAATTGGCCATTTCAAGGTTCCTCCAATTACACATTCTATGATACTCCCCAATTATATCATACCTCCTTATATCCAAATATAACAATTTACCACAATAGGCATAAGCCCTTCTATCATGCATATATCATATAACCAATTCTTTCATGAATATTCATACCAATTTATATCATTTGCAAAATATAACTATTACATCCCTTTAATAATCTATACAAAGGTCTAAATCAAAGTTCAACTTATAAATATCCAATGTTCCAAAAAATATACAAGATATACAATGATCATAAATACAACATGTATGAAGACATCCACATATCCAATATATCCAACGACTACAACCCTAGATGGGCTTCTTGCCCAGGGATCCTCCAGCTCCATCACTAGTACCTGAAATGTGGTTCCCCAAACACGGGGTGAGATTTGACAATTTCAGTAAATCAAAGGTCCTGGAAGGTCACTCCACCCAATGACTCACTCAATATGCATACAATAATAACAAATGTACAGTATAACATACAAAATCATAATAATCACTGGGCACACATCCAAGAACATTCACACGAGGATATTATTTAAGGATATATACTTACAACTCCCGAGACATTCTTAGTGCCGCTCCCAAAATGAAGACAGCCTTACGGTAAAATCTGACTAGAACTCCCTACGAAGACCTATCTAGTAGAAGTCCCCACAATATCTATCTATTGGCCAAAGATATAGGTATAAATACCATAACATGCTATACAACATGTCAAAATGCATGAACACACTCTAACATGCATTACCAGAGATCACAAATCCAACCACTACCCTCAAAGGGCGTGGTGGAGCACACACAAAGGGATTAACCCCAGGACACAGAAGTTTACCTCTTTGAAGCTTCCAAAATAGATAGCTTCAACCACAAGTTACTTCCTCCACGAGCAACCTCACTTGATATTATTACAATGTAGCTATACAATATTCACACCTATGTCATAACATGAATAAAACAACATCAACCAAGCATCAATCAATACCCTAATGATGAACATAAGTTCATACTTACCAATTTCTTGATACACAAGAACCCAATGGTTTCAAACCCTTAGATCATGCCTCCATCAAGCTATTCAAGTGCTTCAATCTACAAGGTCATACAACCAACGGTCAATATACAACTTGACCATACAAGAAATCAAACACATAAAGCCTATCCTATCCATGCATGGCTTCAGCCATGACTCAAGGAAATGCCCAAAATGATAATTTTAATTTCATGTAATCATCAATACACCATTAGCATCCTACTACATTACTAATGAATCCATCATCTAACTTCAACTTCACATTACCCAATTTCCCCCCAAAACTCCTCATATGGTTCCAAAGGCCAAGGTGTTTTTGCATTGTTTATCATGTTTTCAACTCATGGTTTAATCTCACCAACAATGTTCACTAACACACCACATCATTTATTCATGCCATTTCACACTCAACAATAATTTCCCAACATTGGCCGTCAAGGCCGAGACATGCATACCAACATTCCTAGTGAATTTTTCTTGTTTTAACATGCATTAAGCTTCCATCCAACCCCATAATTAATTACGCCAACAACCTACACTCATAATTAATTACTTCATAGGACTGTGTTCCCATTTATTGGTAGAGAAGGGTGGCCTCTCAGTCTATTTCTTGGTGGGCAAGCCTATGTTCAGTAGTAGATTCAGTAGATATGGTGGCAAGTATGAGTTGCCATTCATTCACTAGTTCCTGATGGTGGCCAACTTACCTGAGCTGCTGATCTCGGCAATGATAATTCCCTTAAGGCTAAGTCATGTTTGGCTTAATCGAGATCCATGCTTCCTATGTGGGATGGATTGCTTTTATAGTCATGTCACAGGGGTTTTTTGGACTGGGCCTTTAGCAATTTGGCCTCTATTTCACATGTAGTTGGTCCGGATCATATGTCATAAATTTCATTGAATAGTTTATAAAAAGTGATTTGATTAACCATTTAATCAATTAAACTAATTGAATTACGTACCAACTTCTTCTGAGTTCTCTACTTCAACATTGGTTATTTTCACTTTTATTATATTACCTTTTTGCACAATGACTAAATTATTTCTACACGCCATTTAAATATTTGACTTTTTCAAGTGGTTGTTATAATTAAATTCTTTTAACACTGAGTCAACATATTATTGAATAGTTACGTAAAAAAAATTATTTGCAATGAATCAAAATTAAATTCTAAAAAAGTAGCTCTGTTGAAGTAAAATAAAATACATAATTAAATACAATATAGTAAACTTGCAAACATGCAGTGTGGATGCGAGTAGTTTGCAATGATAGATTTTTCAAATTCACTTCTATCTAGTTTTTTTTACTATAATTGTAGGTGTGGCTAAGCTATTGCTTGATTGAAATTTAGTTTATGGAAGAAAAACAAGCCACAACCTTTGTAATTTTGATTTTGGTGTCTTCGCCTCACCTGTGTAATTTTTATTTTGGCATTGCGAATCATGCAATTCACTCTTGAAATCAAAGAGTCTTCACTTTCCTCGAAGATAATAGCAAAGTTACTATAATCTCTTTTTGTTGTTCTGAGTTATTCCATTTTACTTTTAGTTGGGGGTTTGGGTAGAACACCTCAAATTGAAAAAGAGGGAAAATTGCAGAGTTCTCATACTCAGTAATGAGTAAAATATAGAGATGCATACCCAAGAGTTGGACATTCATGTTGCACTTCAGCACTTCTAGTAACATTAGTATCCTCTTCATAAATCTTGTATCTATTGTCACTAAATCCATTAAAATCTAGTTTCAACAATCAGCCAGTAAAAATATCAAGTGACACAGCTAATTCTGCCAATTGCTTCTGATCAAGATACGATACAAGATCCATTGAAATTAATTGTTTTCTTAAACTTGTGAAGTCTTCTGCCTTGAAATTGTATGTGGATTGAAGTTTCTCAGCTTCACAGTCTGCTGCTTCAGCTTCTGCAAGCAGGAGATTAGCTTCTTCTACATCACCCATTTCTAGTGTGGCAGCTTTTTCTGCTCTAGCAGTAGAAGCAGTCAAAAGTAGCCTTTGATATCTAGCCATTGCCAACTCTTTTTCCTTCAATAAAATCACTCCCTCAGTCTCCTGCAATTTATTAAGGGTGTCTTCAATTTCTTCCTCAAGCTTCTCAAGATTTAAAGTGGCCGAATCCATGTCTATCTGCATGCCCTCTTTTTCAACACTCAGTGACTTAGCCTCAGTAGTTATACGTGCAGCCTCCTTGAAATTTCTTGCAGCAGTAGCAACTTTCTTTTCTGCTTCAAGTTCTGGGACTCTTTTATCTATGAAAATAATCCTCTGCTTGAACGATGCTATATCTTGCTGGATGTTTGACTTTCTTGAAGATAGTTCCTAAAAACAGTGCAATGACATTTGTGAACAAATAAAAAACAAAATATTATTTTTTCAGGGGGGAAAGAAACATCAATAGACCTTACTTGCTTAGGATAAACAACACAAAAACAAGATATCATGGATTTGATTACATGTGGAACCATTTTATATTTTTATAGCATTTGCTCAACCCAATAAACATTCAAGCAGCTTAGCTTGTGTATAACTTCAAATTTAAGGTTATTAGGTAGCGCACAGGTGCCTGGCAAGAGGCAGTGAGTCTTTGTGATTATGCATCACATTTCAGCCATATAAACAATTCAAAAAGATAAAAATCAGTATAAGAATTAACCTGCAAGGAAGCTCTTGCAGCAGAAACCTCCTGCTGAAACAATTTCAGGTCTTCAGAAAGCTTTTCCTCATTGTTTGCAAGGGTCAATTTATCCTCCCTGGACTTCAAGATAGATGACATCAATCTTCTTCTTAGTTCAACTATTTCCCAGTATCCTTTTGCTTCCTCCTCAGAAATCCTAACAATTTCCCTACGCTTTGCCCCCATTTCTTCTTCCTGAATGAGAAAGTTATCAATTTCCTCCTTCTTTAGTGCCAAAGTTTCAGACTCTAATTTCACTTGAGCAAGGACAGATTGCAATTTGTCATACATCACATCAATGCTTGACCGAATCTCTTTAAATCCAGAGACAACATTACTCATCTTATTCTCTACAGCTTTCAAATTAGAGTCATTGTCTGCTATCTCCTTTTGTTTCTGTTCAACTAAAGCAAGAAGGTTTTCCAATTCAACCATTAGCATGTCCTTTCTTTCACAAAGGATATCTTTTTCTCTTTTGTCATCTTGGATTGAATGCTCAATGGTATTATTCAAATCTAAATGAGCTTCACTTATAAAATGTGATTCAATCTCCAACTCCATCTTTTTAACCTCCAAGGCTTCAGATGACGAAAGCCACTGGTTCATTTCTTTTGAATGCACTGATGTTGCTTTCTTCAAGGCAAAATCTGCATTGTTTGAAGCATTCTAGGAAAAGGAATATAGACATTTTAGATATTCTACCCATAACTTAGAATGAGGAGCCTAATGAATAAGCCAATAAGGGCATGCAAAATTATGCACATAAAAATGCACGGCGATGGATGAAACTTAACAGCTTGAGCACTATCGTCCACAGAGTAATGAATGAAGATAATCTATTATGTACATACTTGTATTAAAAGGTCATCAGGTACTGGTATTACAACCAGCAGAACCAATATGGATAAAGGAACCGTTTTATATTATTCTAACAGCTTAGATTCCAATGATCATTGGACCATGAAGCAAGGCCACCAAAAAAGAGGAGCTGTGGACACTCGGATACAGCATGACACTTGTGTCGGTGTTCATGCTTCTTAGCCATTGGGGAGAGTAAAAGAGACAGAAGGATCTGAGTATTCTGTGAAATAGGACCCAAATTAAGATCCATTAATTACATCATTGCCAATGGTGTTATGCGATTTTATGGGCATTTTAGTGAGAAATCAATAATCCTGTAAAGCATTAATTTAAAAGGTGGAATCAATCACACCAGCAGGAACACTTGCCGATAAGTATTTTTATTTAAGCAGAGGATGAACGTCTAGAATCCATCACGTTTCATGTCATTAATAGATTTATGTGAAGTTACAAGGAAATACAAATGCTGTAAAGTAGACAATCACATTTCAATCGGGCTTGGTCAGTATTGCATCTGAACTTATAAACGATGTTATTGAAGAATATAAATGATTAAGATAGAGTGGATATACATTCCTTAAAAAATAAAAAAGATATGAAAGTTTTGCATGCATGTTTTGAATAAGATAAAAGATTGCCCCCTTTTTTTACTAACCATTGCATAATGTTCGAGTAAGACTGCACTTTCTTCCTCGGCAGCTATGAGAGAGTCGAGGGCATGCTGCAATTTTAAATCTAGAGCATCGATTATGGCATCTGCTTCTCTCAAAGAATTGGCGAAAGCTTGTCTATCCTTCTCGGCAGCAGAAAGGTTTTCGCTAACTTTTTCAGCCCTTTCAAAATCTTCAGCTTCACAAGCTTCTTCCAATTGCTTTTCAAGTTCCATGTGCTTAAGGGAAACAAGATTGGCATTCTCAGCGGCTTTTCTTCTGTTCCTGATGGAACCCTTTCGGACAGCAGAAGCAGCGTTCACCAGTTGACGGGCGTGGTTAAGCTTCTCATGTATGCGGGCCTTAATTTGCTGGAACTCTGCCTCAGAAAAAGTTTCACCGTCCTGAGAAACATCTTCGTCTTTCCGATTCTCATAATCCGATTTGGAACCGTCATGCAACGAGGAAGATTCAGTACATGGTTGCGTAACCACAACATCAGCGGTGATCGAAGATGGAAGGGTGTCCCCAACAGAATCGGTACGGGTATCAGAAGGTAGGTTATCAGAAATTTGAAGAGCGGTTTGGGGGAGGGAAGAAGGAGATTGGGGCAGATCGTTGGAAAAAATGGTGTCTCTACCATATCCTATTCTCAAGCCAGATCGTTTTCTCCTTCTGGAGGCCTGTCTCGTGGTAATAGCAGCAGCAGTAGTAGCAGATATAGATGGTTGCTGCGATTGGAGATCATGCTCGGCTTCAGTTACTTCCAAGTTTTGAAGGGGAGGGACAATAAGCGTCAGGTCAGAGAAGAGATTCTCGTCAAGGGGCTGCGACGATGCTGCTTTTGAAGTTGGGACCGCATCACTTTGAAGAGAATCTTCATCTTGTATATCATCTGGACGGAGCTCAACTTCAATTTGGGCAGTGTTAAACAGTACCATCCCTTCGAATAGCGAATCCATATCTTCACCTTTCTTCCCATCCAAAGCCATCGTTCGACTTGCTACTTTCCGATCCTCCTCCCCACCTTTGATTTGTCAAATCATTATTAATCATTTTCCCTCTACCCCTCTTAACTTAGGTATAAAAAATCGAAAAAGTTCAAAAAAATAACTTATATTTTTATTTTATTTTAATTATTTATTGCTTATGATTTTTTTCATCTAAACCAGTATTTAATATATTAGAAATTAAATTAACCTGGTTATTTTATCTTTCTTAGAAAAAAAATTAAATTGAGAAAAAAATTAAATTGAGAAAAAAATTAAAGAAGAAATAAGATAAAATATATAAAAAGACTAAAAATAAAAAAGAAGAAAAATATATATGTCTAAACAAAAAAAAAAGAGGATTACCAAAAAAACAGAGAAGAGAATAAATTAAAAAGGAAAAAAAGAAAAAATAAATCAATTATATAAAAAAATATAACTATTTTAAATAAATGACTGTTTTGACCGTTGAATATTCTATGACCATTGAATAAGTAATTATGGTCATTTATCATATTGTAACTGTACTTGTCTTGTGAGCCTATAAATAGAGGCATCAAAGTAAATGATAAAACAACAAGAATATATTCTCGTGCTTAGGGGTGTTCGCGGTCTGGATTGGATCTGTTTTGGAAGCAAAAATCATCTGATCCAATACCTTCGGTTTGATCATGTAATCATCCATTCGGTTTGTATTTTTTTTGAAATCCGATCCGATCCAATCCAATTTTTTTCGGTTGGATTGGATCGATTTTCGGTTTTTTGAAAATTCTAAAATTTGTTTCATGATTATTATGCAAATACCATCTTTTGTATATATTGGCTTTGGAATTTTATTTATTTTTAAATACAAAAGCATTAGTAAACAATAATATAATTTTTTTTTGGACAGAGAGATATGAAGCTCTACATAGATAAAATTTTGTTGATGAGATGTGACTAGGTTTTTTCTAGGGTTTAGTTGATGGGTTAATGGGTCTTGAGTTTATAAATTTTTGGGCTATGATTGGGGAAAGACCCAAGTAGGTAGAAAGAAATTAATATATTGGATCGATTTTCATCTACCAATCCGAAAACCGATCCAATCCAATTAAAATTTGGGATTTTTTTTCGGTTTTTCGGTTTTCAGTTTTTCGGTTTTCGGTTTTTCAGTTCGGTCACCGCGGTTTGAATCGGTTTGGATCGGTTGATGAACACCCCTACTCGTGCTTCTCTCTTACCTCTATATTTTTCTCCTCGTTATCTATAATTATTTTACAACACGTCATCAACACGATCTGCGATTCATCCCAATTTAGATCTCGGTGGTGACTTTGCAATTTTGCTCGACGACATAACCTTCACCGGCGACATCCCAATTTAGATCTTGGTGGTGACTTTGCAATTTTGCTCGATGACATAACCTTCACCGGCGACATCTTGGAAAGCTTGATCTGCAGTATTGGATAATGTGTCAGAAATACTCGTAGCTGTCGGATTTAGGATGATGTGTTTTTACTTTATTCTTTGCTTTGTTTTGCTTCCTCGACTTATTATCATAAAATATCTGAATCTGATTATTCCATCTTGTTATGTTGCCTATGTGGCTGTCGCGTTTGGAGATTTGAGTCCCTGGTAGCTCGCCGTCGCCGCTGAAGGTGGTGCACATGTTGGATCCTATGTTGGATAGGATGACCATGCTTATTGGGAGATGTTGTCTTTCTGCTCATACTTTCCAAGATCAAATGGAATAATAGTGAACATGTTTGAAGAGCTTGATCCTGTGGCGGTGAATTAAGGCCATAGCAGTGAGTTTGTGTTTTCAAGAACCCAAACAAGCTCCCCCTCTTTACTAGGGTTGGCAAAAACGAGCCAACCCGTCGGTTTGGCTCGCAACCCGTCGGTTTGGCTCGCAACCCGTCCTAAATGAGTCGGGTTGGGTTGGCCTAAATGAGCTGCCAACCCGATACAACCCGATCCGATACAACCTAGACCCAAACGAGCTAGCCCTCGGGTTAAACGGGCCAGCTCGCGGGTTGGGTATTTTTTTTAAATATTAGTGCGCTAAAACGTTTGAGCTTTAACGTTTTAACGCTGAAGACCTGCATATTTCTGGCTTTGACGTGCAGCAGCGCGCTAAAACATTCTGGATGGACGTTTTAGCGCTCCAGACCAGCATCTTTTGGCTTCTTTCTTAGCAGGGCGCTAAAACGTTCTGGATGAACGTTTTAGCGCTCAACACTTAGAATTTTTTCTCTTCTTCAGAATCTTCTTCCTTCTCCTAGTTGCCTTTTAAGCTTGATTTTCCTACAAGAACAATGCAAATTTCAATAAAGCTTCTTGAACTTGTAGTTGAGGACATTCTAGGACATTAACCTCTTTTTCCATCATTTAATCACACAAATTAATACTAATTCATGATGAAAAACCTGATGAACTAAGGGTTTATCATCTTTTCTAAGATTTTGGTTGGCTAATTTCTTTCAGACATGTATGCAGTGTTGGAGAACAAATAAGACTAGTTCCACAAAAATCAATTTTTTTGAGCCAACTCGCGAGCCAACCCGCGAGCTTGTTTTCGAGCCAACCCGCGAGCTTTTTTCCGAGCCAACCCGCGAGCTGATTATCGAGCCAACCCGCGAGCCAACCCTAACCCGGCTCGGGTTGGGCTGGGTTGAGTTTTCTGGCTCGTTTATTTTTTCGAGCCAACCCTAACCCGACCCGATTTTTACGGGTTGAATGCGGGTTGGGCCGGGTCGAGCCGGGTTGGCCCGTTTTGCCAACCCTACTCTTTACTGTGTTGGACCTTTCATAGCAAAGCCATTATCCAGGTTTATATTGATACTTTCCCTTCTTATTCAATATAATTATTCTCGTTTATTATGTTTCTTTAAGTAGCATATTGTTTGGTATGCACATGTGTTATTATGTTTTCGACAATTTTTAAAGTTGATGGGCCTCGCATGATTTATATTCTAAATTTCATTTGCTTAATCCATATTGGATCCAGATTGCTAAAACAAGTTGCCTACCAACCAATATATACTTTAAGCATATCACGCAAACCAGTATATTGTTTTTATATATTATATCCATATATATACTTTTCTATGGCACTGCTAAGGAATTAACCCACTTGATCATTATCATCTTGAAAGCATAGAATTTGGAAAGGGTAATAGAGGCACTGTTTCTATTCATTTCCATGCTGCTGCAGTTACATTTTATTTATTATATATAATATTGTCATTTACCAAATAATAGTTCAATCTGAAGTTGATCTACTTCTTAGACTTTGGACCACATATTTGTTATATTAATTTATTGATGTATGATGCTCGTGGGATCTTACTACGAACTCAAATTTTATTTTTATTTCTAGTTTGTATAAAATTTATTGTGACAATATGTCATCTTCTTGCAATTATTATATAACCATATATTAGAATATATGTAATCAATTTTGTTTGTGTATTAGACTATGTGCAAATAATTTTACCTTTTATATTGCTATTAATTTTGTGTTAAGGGGGCAGTTACAAATCATTTGCCATCAATCAAATTTAATTTTTGAAATGAATGAGAAATCTTTGGAGCAATGTATGTTTTTTTTCCAATGCATTCATAAAGAGAGATATAATACATATATTGATATTGCAACCATTTATGCTTGCTATGGAATGGTAGGTTATTTATGAGTTTAACCGTTTTATTTTGGGCATAATTTATTTTATTCTATAATATTCTTTTAATTGAATGCAAATAAAGAGTTATGATGATGTGCAAATAAATGCATTCTTTTATTTGAAATTTTATTGTTAATTAAATAATCATTACAATTATTTTATATATGATTAAATCTCAAACCGTTACAGTTGTCTCATGTATGGTTAAATGTTATTCAATAATTTAATGTATGAATTAGTGATTTAATGTATGAATTAAGGAGTTGATATGGTTATGAATATGTATTAAATGATACAATAATTATTATTACCGTTATAGTTTTGTGAATTTTATAATTGAATGTAATTGTGTCACTTATGAATTTACATCATTAATGATTATTGTTACTGAAAGTTATAATTTTTAGATTTATTATTCATTTTGGAATACATTTGACAGCGTTTAAAATGATAATTTTCGTTCAAACTGATTGTTATAAATATAACATTTGAATTGATCATTTGAATCTCTACCATTTTTTCTATAATTGTTGTTACATGCTTTATGTTTAGCATGACCATCATATTTATTTTCAATTATTATGGTGCTTTAATGCATCATATTAATTAGACCTTGAATATCTTTAATGCTCAATTTATAATATGAATTATCTGTTTTGAATCATTATTAATTTTCATTCAATGTATAGTTATTATAGTGTTTTTCCATATCTGAATTAGTGAAAATAATTTAATTTTAGACATGTTGTTCAAAAGCATTGCCCGAAGCAAATGTCAAATATGTGAAAGACTCTAGCTATTGAGGGCTATGAGCACAAGTGATGATACAACCTTTGAAGTGATGATAGAAAATCTAACATTGGGTCAAATCATGAAAAGGAATGAAGCCACACGAAAGTGGCTAATGAAATGAATATGCAAAATTAAAATAAGGGCAAGTGTTATGAATCTCATGCCATTGAAATTAATCCCACTGATGAGACTAAATATCTTTGTTGGTTATTGCTCTTGAAGTAGCAAAATCCGAATTATTTTATCAATTGTCTATGACTTCAATGCCTCGATATTTGATGCATGTAATTACACATATTGATATGGAGGAAGCAAATTTTAATACAATATTGTGGCTGGAAGATCCCCACCAAGTAATTTGAGTTTAGATGATTGGCTTCATGCCTCAGCACCTGCAGATATTTATTTTCTTGGGTAGGATTTGGTACTTGTTAACGTCTTTTCCAAGCAAACTTAGTACTAGTTGTTACTGATGACACATTCTACCTCTCTATTGCAGATTTCAAGAGATAGTTCCCTTGAATTCTGGTAATATCTTAGGGGCAGAAGACAATGGTCCTGCCAAAAAATGGCTGGCTCTCATTGGAAAAACTTTGAACAATCTACCTGGTACTAGTGGAGGTAGCGGGTATTATACACCATCTCCCATTCCTCAGCCAGTGGTAGAATTAAATGCAGATTTTGAGGGATTGGCTAGGCAGAAGAATTCATCATTCTTCCATAGGCGATCATTCCAGACAACTTCTAGCAGCTGGGGAATGGACAATGATCCTTCAACTTCTTGTTCGCACAAAAATGATATGCAACTGACAGTAATCAAATTATGTGGAAGGTGGAATGTTTAAGTCCAATTTTTGACCTTGAACTCCAAGCAAATATATATGTCAATATCTCAATATAATTTCTATCAGGTAATTCTTTAGTATTATACAACAATTTCAAGAAAAATAATAAAATCTGACCAGTTAATTGTTCTTTTCCTCTGACAAGATCAGAAGAACAAAAATTTTGTTAGACTGTCCAAGTTTCTGAATCTTCTTAATTTTTTTAATCAATTGCAAGCAGCAGATACAAGCCAGAAGATACATCTTGTTGATACTCGAATGAACAGATATCAACCAGCATTATATTTTTCCAACATTTTACCAAAAAGTAACAGCTTGAAGAATTGTTTACAGAGATAGTTTTAAACTGTGAAAGTGAGCAACATGTTCTGAATCAACTAGAAAATATCAGCTCGTATACAGTATATTTTTCCCAGAGACATATCTACTGCATTACTAATATAGCTATAAGAAGTAACCACCGTTGTACCAACACCATAAAAAAATTTCCTATAAAATTCCTAATTTTCTATCTAGCAATTTAAAATTAAAACTTGGGGAAAGAAAAGCATACTTGTTTGTATTCCTTTGCAACGAATGCATCACCAACGAAATAAGCACCACAAATCAAAGAAAGCACAATGAGGAAACTGCAAAGGAGCAACTTATTCTTCAAGTATGGCAAGACAAAACCCTGACAAAGACAATGGTTATCACAACTTGAGAAATTATTACAGTTCAATAAAGTAAAAATGATTTCTTATAACTCAGCCAACAAAGCAATCATAAAATGTAGAGGAACGGGCAAAAAGTGGTTTAAGAAAAAACTTTAGTCATTTTGCTCCTGCTGCAGCATAACAATAAAAGTAAAGCAAAGACAATTCTCAGCAGGTCCAGGTCCAATACAAGGTTATTTTTATAAACCTTACCATACCACAAAGGATGCAATTCTTAATTTAATTGAGCATGGGAAACACAGTGCCCAAAATAATCTTTGTATCTCGATGAAAATCTGTAACTAACCACCTAATAACAGATTGTGGACTGTAAGCAGAGGGAACTACCAAACGTAGTTCAGGAATAATAATAACTTGTGAAACATACATATTCTAAGGAGATAGGAAAAGTGCGAATATGATTTCCCCTTTTCTCTTGCAAAAGCCATAAATAAAAGAAACATCTCACATGCAATTTAGTCATCTAAGCTGTCAAAAACATTCCGTTGACCCGAGACTCGCAAAAAAAAAAACACAATAAATAGAGACATAAACAGATTTTGAGAAGACAAGAATACAGAGGTACATGAAGTTGAATGAACAAACAAACATGTTTGGGCAAGTCCTGAGGGAATTTCAAGTTCCCATTAAACCCAGCAGCCACACAAACAGATTAGAGTGAGAGGGAGGGAGGGAGCTTACGGTTACAGAACTCAAAGCCTTCATTTGATCTTGCAAGTGAAGAGGGGGGAAGTACATAGATTAAGAGAAGAAAAAAGATAGCTTTTTTGAAGAAAAAAGATAAAAAGAAATAATTCTTTCCTATACGAAACTAATTTAAGAGAAAAATATCCATCTATTTATTCTAGCCATCAAGAATAAAAAGTTTTTTGAAACAGTATACTCATGCGCTCCTCATTGGAATTTGCTTTTTTATTGATTTTTCTGCAAAAGAATAAATCAAAGATACATATAGCTGGCTACATTGCTATTTGTCATAAAAAAATAAAGAAAATAAAACCAAATTCCAATCAGAACTTACTGTGAGATTTGGATGAAAAAACTTCGTGGAATTTGTGGAAGGAAACAAAAAAAAGGACAATGTCTTCGCATTTCCCGATTTACGTTAGTCCAATCTGTTTCAAAGGATGGAATGAAAACCTATTAGAATAATAAATTAAGCCAATTTAAGCCAATCCCCTATTAGAATAGTATGTATAACAGTAATCTTGAGTCAAATAACAAATTTCACATTTATATTCCTTCACATTAACGTCTGTGAAATCAAAATGAGCGTAAATTCATCTAAAATTTTATTTTCAAATAAACTCGTGCTGTTGCAATTCCTTCACTGTCAAATCTCATTTCCACTATTTTAAATGACTAACGCTAAATGGCTGCTTCAAATTTCTATAATTTTCGCTACTTTATTTTCATATCCAAAAAATCTAAATCAAACAATTAAAGAGTTTGAAAGCCCAAACTTACTCACGATTAGTAAAAAAACCTGCAAATGGCAGCAAAGAGAAGCACTCTAAGAAAGAGAGATAATGAGCCATGGTCACTATTTTTGCAAACAAAACACATATCCAAACCCTAGTCAAGAAAGAGAGAAATGAAGAAATTAGAATTGAAGATAAATTAGAATACTTGCAAGAAAAAAGAGATGAAGAAATCAGAATTTAAAAAGGTGAGGTGTGTGTTATGAATCGAGTGAGTCTGAGACTGAGAATTTGAGAATAAAGAAATAGGGCTGAGAATTCGAGAGGGAAAAAAATGAGAGAAAAGGTGTAGTATGTGCTGTGCTACTCGTTTTTACTTGAATAGTAAAATTTATTATTTTTAAATATTTTAGAGTATATTAATTAACCGTGGTTAAAAAGTCATGGTTAAAGGCAGGTTTTCTCGTAGTGAATAGTTGGCAATATAAAGCTCTAGAAGAGCTAATTTGTGATTATCAAGGGGGACCAAATTGGCTATAAATGATATCACATTGAGATCACAAATGGTGGTAAAGTTGACTATTTTTATAAATATTGCAGGTAAGAAATGTGTATAAAAAGGAAAAATTACTTGTTTTTCTTCCGATATATGTTACACTAATATTAGCATGATTGAAAAACGTGCCTTGGTAAATCAAAAGTATATTGATTATAATAACTATATCATTTGGCATGACCGGATGGACCATCCCGGATCAAATATGATGCGAAATATTATTGAAAATTCATATGATCATGTATTGAAGAACCAAAAGATTCTTTAATTTATTGAATTGTCATATAATGCTAGTTCTCAGAAAAATTATCACCAACTAAATTTGAGATTCAATCTCTTGCATTTTTAAAATTTTTGATGAATAGAAAAATAATTGGCCAAAATACAAAGAAGCAATTCATATTTAAAGTTTTTTGGACATAGAATCCAAAACATGAAGGTGTAAAGCCAGTGGGGGTACAAATGTGCAAAACTATAATAAGAAAAATGAAGTCGTATGATATAAAGCACGACTTATAGCACAATGATTTTCGCAAAAGCCTGACATTTATTCTCTTTGTGGTGGATGCAATCACCTTCAGATGTCTTATTAATCTAGCAGTATATGAAAAATTGACATGTATAATGGATGTTATTATAGCCTATTTATATGACTTATTCGGTCGATAATGAAATTTATGTAAAAATCCTAGAAGGATTTAAAACTCTTGAAGCATATAAGATTTCCCGGAAAATTTGTTGAATAAAGCTTCAAATATCAGTAAATGGATTAAAGAAATAAAGACATATGTGGTATAATCGCCTTGATAAAATATTTATCAGTTGACTTACAATTTAAAGAGATTGTTGATGGGACGTAAATTCGTTCCCATCTAAGCCCATTTTGATGGCAAAATACCCTCCGTTCCCTCATCTGATGAGCAACTTCAGCATGAAAATCACTTGTTTTACACATTTGTGACAAAAACACAGTGGGGGAACGGATGATGACGTAATCCTTTGAAAACACATTAAAAGGGGAACAGATTGAGAACATTTATTACACCTGCTCCACTCATTTAATGCTTCTGATCACTTTGCAGGAAACGTGGAAACAAAGTCTTCATAAAGTAGAGGCGGTGCACCAACTAAGCACAAAGAAATGTGCACAGCAGGAAATAAAGAGTTCTCATTGGCTAAGAAGAAAACAAGACATGGGGAACTGCAAGAAAACGACTAATCATCAACAATAACTGTCCCATCAAGCAAGTTGCAAGCTTCCAAACACTGTTGCCACAGCCTCGTCCCTTCAGTCAAGAAACCAACTCCAAAGGATTTTACAAGACTGCCACTCACTCTTCTGCCTATAAATAGGACGTCCCAAACACGAAGACATCATCGAATTCCTTAGGAATCAAATTCCTGAAGAAGAGATGACCTATTATTATTTAGTAGTTTACATTTTTGTATAGTTGTAGCTATAGTTAAGTGACAACACTTCTCCCTTATTCTGTAACATTCACTTGACACTCCTCACGAGCATCAACCATCTTCTCCATTTTAGATTTTGTTGTAATCTTCCTTGTTTCATTTTAATATAAGTGTTTCTTCTTTCCTTTCCACTCGTTATCTTTGAACTGAATCTCGGGTCTATGGGACTTCAGTTTAAAATAATTATGTTTAAAATATCAGCCATGGGCTGAAGTATCCGTGGAACGGATAAGCTGCAAAACTCTTAAAGAATTATTTTCAAAACTCTTGACTGAAGCTTTTTGTATTTCTCTGGCTAAGTAAGCTATATTCATTGTGTATCAATGGAAATTGAACACATACTGAGAAAGGAACTTCCTTAAGGAAGAGATTTCAGACAGCTTAGCTAGTGGGGGAAGGTAGTGTTTTGGCAACGACACTTTTGGTCACCTTAGGAATAAGGGGCCACTTCGTCCACTTTAAGGTTCTGTACCAATTACCTGTTGGAGTTAAGGGAGCCATAAGAATATGGAAACTTGTGAGCCATCTAGTCCATGAGCTAAGGAATCAGAGTTGGCAGTTAAGAAACTGGGACAAAGCCAAAAAGTGCTAAGTCTTGAGCAGAGAAAATAACTATTTAAGAATGGAGCAGTAAATATGTTCCTTGTGTTAAATTGTTTTTAAAACCATCCACTTTGTTGTCTCTTGATTATAGTTATAACTGTTTTATTTTTACTTTACTTAATCTTGTATCTATCAAGCTTCAATGATTATTATCACACCTTCTCTTAAGCAGGAAGGATCACATATATAACGCAGCGAGTAATTGTTTGCCATCAGACTGAACTTACTGTTCTTGAGGAACGTTGTCAAGACAGCAGGGAACGGTTGACCAGACAGTTCAACCACTAACTTTTCTTCTCATTTTCATTCTTTATAAAATAGTTTAAGACATTATTTAGAGTTCTATCCTCGTGGGAACGATAATCTGGGCATTAATCCACCCATTATTACTTGATACGTGCACTTGCGCACTTGGGTTGGAAGCAAGGGAACAAATCTGTTTTCTTTTGCTAATTTAGAACAGAGGAATGTCCCTCATCAGAATATATATTTTTCCACCATCAGCAAACCACCCAACAAGTTTTTGACGCCGTTGCCAGGGATAGAAACACTAATTTTTTTTTCTTATTACTGTTTTTAGTACATACTCTGTATAGTTCATATTTTCTTTTCACTTATTTCTTGTCACTGATTTTGCTGTTCATATAACCTGTGTTTTATGGTTTATGAGTGAAGAGTCTGAAATAGATTATGACCACTCCACTGAAATACGTGAGTTTTTCTTTGATCCTGAGCCAGAACGTACCTTTCACAGAAGAAGAAACCTCAGGGAAGAAATTTCTGAAAATATGGCTGATCACAATAATAATGAAGATATTCCTCCTGAACAAAACTTTAGAACTTTGGCTGCTCCTTTCAGGAACAGACCAGAGAGGGGAGTAATCCTCCCTCCTGTAGCACCTAATTTTGAATTAAAACCTATCATGTTTCACATGATAAGAGAAGCTGGAGTCTTCAATGGACTCCCTGCAGAAGATCCTTACACACACCTCACAACATTTCAAGATATCTATGATAATTTCAAAGCTGAGGGTGTGACAGAGGAAAGTATGAGAATGAGGTTATTCCCTCACTCCTTGGGCTTAAAAGCAAAAACATGGATGAAAAATCTCACCCCTGGATCCATACATTCTTGGGAGGAACTTTCTAACAAGTTCATAGAAAGGTTTCTCCCTATGTCTCGACAAGCTGATGTGAGAGCAAAGCTCTATAACTTCAGGATGTTTTATGGAGAAAATCTCTATGAAGCTTGGGAGAGATACAAGTTAGAAAATGTCCAAACCATGGGGTAGAGAGTTAGGGAGTGTTACAATCTTTTTATAAAGGACTTGACCATACTTCTCAGTCAAATTTAGATTTTGCTGCAGGAGGATATTTTTTTACAAGAACGCTTGAATCCATGTATGAAATCATAGAAGGCACTGCAGAAAAGATGTCTCCAATGGTCAATAGACAGGGTGAACCCAGTAAGGAATCCTGGCATGCTAGAACTAGACAAACAAACTGCCATGGGAGTCCAGCTAGCCTCACTCATGAATGAGGTGAAGAACCTGAAAAATGATCAAGAAACACCAAGGATGGAAGTCTTGCAACTCACAGCAGTTGAAACTGAACCATGCTCAGCCTGTGGTGACCTTCATGATTCAACAGACTGCTGATAAACCCTTGGTTTACCATGCTTTTAGGCTTAATTATGATTGATATATGTTATGAATTGCATGGAAATTAGGGTTTTATGCTGTAAAGTTACAGTAATTGAATATCTTGCTAACATGTTGTCGTAATGCTGATTTACAAGAGTTTTTGACATATATTATGGCATTTTGGAACAAAAAGAAGACATCAAGTTGAGTTGAAGTCACAAGAAAGCAAGATTTCAAGTGTGTACCAGCTGAAGGAGGATGTTTTGGCGTCCATGAAGCAAGTTTAAATGCACAAAAGGAAGGAAAACACCATTGCCCCCTGGAGGAGAACGTTTTGGCGCACAACATCACGCCAAAACGTCCTGAAAACAACCAAAACCATTCGAAGAGCATGTTTTGGCGTGCTAATGGACGCCAAAACGTGTGAAGGCAGAAAAGAATACACATCAAGAACGTTTTAGCGCGCTACAGGACGCTAAAACGTCTGTACACGGTCAAGCCAACTCCAGGAAAGATTTAATCAAGATATGCAGCAGATTCCATGAAGATACAAAAAGAAAACACATCAACCTTGATTGAATTAAAGATATAAATCCAATTGGAAGATGTGATAGAAGATCACAACAAGATTTAAAGCTCAAAATCGTCAACCAATCACCAAGATATCAAATGCAAAAAGGAAACAACGATGAAATCAACCACAAATCTGATATGGATTCATTGGAGATTTAATGAAGAATACAACCCCAAAAAGCTATAAATAAAGAGCTTAGGGTCAAGACTCATACACCAATTCACAATTCCAGAGCATTACACCAAGACTGAAGGAGGAATCCTGTTGCGGAGCGCTGGAACACTGAGGAACCAAGTCAACATCACACCAACGGAGGCTTGGGGTTCTTTTTTCTTTATTATTTCTTTTCAATTCAGTATGCTAAAGTAGTCTTTTATGTAGTTATGGGTAGATGAAACCCAATTGAATCTTTATGTTTATGAATTAAATTGTCTCCGAATCCTGTTCTTTTTATAATTGAATAAATTATCTGTTTTTAATGC